GCGGGGGGGGGGGGGGGGGGGGGGGGGGGGGGGAGAGTGGTGTGGCGGGGAGAAGGAGGAGGAGGGGAAAAGAAGAAAGAACTTGGTGAAAAACAAACCAAACCTCATTGTCACTAAGCTGCCACAGCCATAAAGGGAATGGGGTGACATATGAGGTTGGAGAGGCCTTAAGGGCCATTTTGCAATTTTCCTGTCACCCCCCTCTCTCCTGAAAGGAAGAGGTTTTTCATTCATTCATTTATTTAAAACATTTTTTTCTAATTAAGCACCTACTCTGAGTTGGGTGCTTTGTTAGGCCAGAGCGAGACATCAGTGAAGCAAATATCAAATATTTATTGACTGTTTATGTAATGCGTGTCCTGTGTTAAGCACTTGGTGTACATCCTGCTCTCAAGGACAGTGTAAGACAGGGACTGTCAGTGTGGCTTTTTTACTGATAGGGGAATGGGTTAACTGAAGCTTAGGATGGTTTGGTAACTCACTGCCGGCCACAGAGTGATCAGTAAGCAACTTGGACACAGCCCAGGGACACCTTTTTCCAGCTCTAGCTTCACCCAGGGCCCTGAAGCTTCTCCCAGGGTACAGTAAGTGTCTGGCCTGGGGTCATGGATGAGTCAGGCTGAGCTGTTCCACTCCCAGTTCCTGCCATCCCATCCTGTTCTTGGCCTGAGAAAGGACACAGTGTAGGGGACGGATGTGGGCTGGGACAATAGTGCCGCGTCACTGCTGATGAGGGGCCTGTGTTCCCCTCCTCCCAGTCACCACCTGAAGCCTGTCTCAGCTACCGTCCTTGTCGTCATGCTTCCATCCCTCCCTGTCCCACGGAAAACAGCTAGGAGTGTGTCTCATGAACCAAAAGCGTGTTTCCTTCCTTCTCTGGGGCTTCCGCGGGGCTACCTGAGAATACAACCAGTTTCTGAAATTCTATTCTCTAGTGCCTAGGACTTCCCCCGTGGTTCAGAGAAGGGAGAAGCATGGTTGTGCTCCTATTGGGCAGGATCGTGAGGAAACTGTCCACCGACCTGTTTCTGCTATTTTGAGGTGAGGAGGAAGGTGGCCATGCTGCTGACCAGTGAGTCAGTCAGTCCCTGGACTGAGCACTGTGTATAGTTAGAGAACTGGGGAGGTGGAACCAAGTTTGAAGAATTGTCTCCGGTCTGGTCTAATCTGGCAATCAGAAGCCTTAAAGACTTAAGAAGTCCACAGAGATATATACAAGGATGCTCACCACAGTGTTTTAGTAGTAGCAACCTAAATGCGCATCTGCAGGGGACAGATGAAATCAACGATGGCTGATCTCTACAAAGGAAATCTATGTCGCTATTAAACAGTTTGTGATGGATCTATTAGGTGTGGATGTAGAAAGGTGCTTAAGACTTATTGTTAAGAGGATAAAGCAAGATACATAGAACAGTGCATGTGTGGATATGCTTCTATAGCCATGGATGATTTCTGGAAACAGAAACAAGAAACTACTAACTGGTTACTTCTAAAGAGCAGGGATGGAGTTTGAGTGGAGAGCGAGACTTCTGCTCCTCATTTTACACTCTTCTGTACTTATTGTTTTTTAATGATCAGCATGTATTGCTTTTATAATCCAATGATAATGATAAAACGGAAGAAAGACAGACTTAGGGAGGGTCACAAACTAAAGGCACCAAAACAATTCAGCACTCTATCCAGGAACGCTGAGGACAGAAGGAATGATGAAGTGGGTCCCAAGATGACCTTGCATGATGGAATTTGCCCCTAGCCACTGCTTGCAGAAGTATGCTTTGACCAGCCAAGAGTGGACACAGAGGCAGGGAGGCAGGAAATCACTATTTGCAAGGCTGACTCAGTGACAGAAAGAATAAAACAAAGTCAAGGCCAAAGTTCAACTCCAAGAACAGGGATCTATTATAGCGATAGCTAACATACACTGAGTATTAACTGTATCGAAGAATGTGCAAATTGTTTTACCTAGTATTATCTCATTTAATGTTCACAACAACCCTATGAGGTAGCACTATTATTATCCCAATATAAGATGAGGACACTGAGGCTTAGAGGATTTAAATTACTTGCCCAAATATACACAGTTAGTAATTGGTAGGGTTGGGATTTAACCCAGATATGTTGGTTTTTGGAGGCAGCTTTCTTACCACCTATTGAATGCTAACATGTGTTGGATTCTGAAGTGTCCTCAGGTGCAAGAATAGGACATCCACACATCTTTGCCATCAAGGAGCACCCAGACTAGTTGGGGGAGGACCACACTAAACTATGTAGACTGGATAGTGTCTTGAATAAGCTACCCATCTGGATTTAATTGGGCTGCAGAGATGATAAGCACTATTTGTATTTTTTTTTTTTTTAAATGACCAGTAAGGGGATCTTAACCCTTGACTTGGTGTTGTCAGCACCACGCTCAGCCAGTCAGCTAACCGGCCATCCCTATATGGGATCCGAACCCGTGGCCTTGGTGTTATCAGCACCACACTCTCCCAAGTGAGCCATGGGCTGGCCCAATAAGCACTATCTGGATTTTAAAGTTGAGGAGATTGGCAAGGCTTGAAATTGTCAATAAAGGTCTTTTGGAGGAGGAAAGATTTAGACCAGGTCTGGAAAGATTAAGAGAGGGGTAAGAGAACATTCCAGAGAAGAAAATGCACAAGGCATGCATAAGTCTGCTCTGTTGTTTCTGAGATATTGAAGCTTCTTGCCTAATCAGAGTGAGAGTTGTGTATATGCACTAAGCAAGCTGGTATGTGTAGGGAGGAAAAACAGAGAGCATTAAAGTAATTCTGAAGTTGAAAACTGGCAGAGGAGTTGTGACTTTAATGTGAAAGGAAATTAGGAGCCTCGGAAGGTGTTTTGGGCAGTGAAGAAAAGATATGAAAAGTGGTGCTTTGGAGAGACTAATCCAACAGAGGTGTCTGGTGACTTGGAGTGAAGGAGTGAGTGGTGTGAAATCCCAGGTTTGGGGTGATGAAGGCCTCGGTGGAGGTACCAGCAAGAGGAATGCAAAAGGGTCAGTGTGAAAGCTGCTATGAAGGGAGAGGAGGCAACAGGACTTGGTGAATGGAAAGAGACAGACCATCAAGGACAGGGTCAGGGCCATATAATTCCAGAGCTTCAAATCCATGTGTCCAAAGGAGAATGCCTATGTCTGGGACAGGGAATTGGGAGAGGGTTCTGCTTGGCTGTTGGAGGTGGAGTGGGGTGGGAAGAGATGATGAACTGGGTTTTCATTCCAAACCTCCATTCTTCCCAAGATGCTAAAGACAGCTTAGGGACTTTCTCAGGGACTTTCTCTGTTAGTTTTCTTGGTAATATAATGCAAAGGACTTACTTTGTCTGGACCAGTTAATTCATTTAACAGCTGTTTATAAAGCTGTCATTACAATCTGGGTGTTGGGAACACAGCAGTGAGCAGAGCAGACCTGGTCCCTGTCTTCACAGAAGACAAATATTGAACAAAAAATATGAGTTTTTCTACTCCTAGGATCAAGGTGACATTTCTTTCCCCAGAGTAGTCCTGTTCTCTGCTTCCGAATCTGGAACATGCACCAACTGGTAAGGGCATTTGTCAAACATTTTATTATAGATTGTATCTTTTAATAAACAATATAATCACAAATATTCATTTATTCCTTTGTTCTACAAATATTTGAGTGTCACTATGGCTGTGTATTCCCAGCCCTCATGCTCACAATCTAGCAGAGGACACAGACAAGTAAACAGGTAGTGATAATATGGTGTAATGAGTATATCAAGAGGGTAAGCACCAGGGGTTGTGGGAGCTCCTAGGAGCCACTCTGTATGACCTACCTAGGAGGTATCTTCCAGCCTTGGAGGGGCAGGTGGCTGGGCAGGGAAGTTTCTCTGATGAGAATAATAAAGTGTTAGCTACATAGGGGTGGGGGTGGAAATGGAGATATGTGTTCCATGCAGAAGGAACTTTGTTTTAGTCTGTTTTGTGTTGCTATAACAGAAATACCTGAGACTGGATAATTTATAATAACAGAGGTTTATTTGGCTTACAATTCTGGGTCAGCTATATCTGGCACAGGCCTCAGGTTGCTTCTACTCATGGCGGAAAGTGGCAGGCAGCTGGCAGGTACGAGCAGATCACATGGTGAGAGGAAGCAAGAGAGAGAGAAAGTGCCAGGGTCTTTTGAACAACAAGCTCTCACGGGAACTAATGAGGGAGAACTCACTCATTACTCCCCCCTCCCTGAGGGAGAGCATTAATTCATCCATGAGGGATCCACCCCCATGGCTCAATCAGTTTCCAACAGTGCCACATTGGGGATCAAATTTCCACATGAGTTTTGGAGGGGACCACACATCCAAACTCCATCAAACTTCTAAAAGACCTGGATGCTGGAGAGGCCTAGGCTTGCTGGAAGAAGAAGTGAAGTCAGAGAATAATTTACAATCTAGATTTTTTTTTTTTGCAGCTGGCCAGTACAGGGATTGAACCCCGGACCTAGATATTATCAGCACCATGCTCGGGGCGGCGCTGTGGCTTAGTTGGTTAAAGCGCCTGTCTAGTATCAGCACCATGCTCTAACCAACTGAACAAACCAGTCAGCCACAATCTAGAATTTTATACCTAGCAAAACTATTAATCATAATGTGAAAAAAAGAATTAAAGACATTTTCAGATATGCAAGGTCTGAAAAAATTGACCTCCAATGTATCTGTTTCCAGAAAGCTAGTGGAGGACTTGCAACAACAAAACCAAGGAGTAAATCAAGAGAGCAGACAATATGAGAATAACTGCATGAGCTCAGGTAGGCAGGGGCTGGATCAAAAAGGGTTGTAAGGGCATGTTAAGGAGTTTGGACTTCAATATAATGCCAAAATTACTTCAAGTAATAATAGAATAATATTCTAAAATAGTGACATTTTGGGCCAGCCCCGTGGCTCACTCAGGAGGGTGCGGTGCTGATAGCACTGATGCCGTGGGTTCGGATCCTATATAAGGATGGCTGGTGAGCTCACTGGCTGAGCGTGGTGCGGACAACACAAAGCCAAGGGTTGCGATCCCCTTACCGGTCAAAAAAACAAAAAATGTAAAATAAAATAGTGACATCCCCCCCCCCAGTTTTGAATCCTAGGGGCCCTTTCAAGCAACATTGTGATTGGCTTCATCTAGAAATAAGTATTTTTAATCTGATTTTCATATTATGCATTCCTTTGAAAAGGGTTCTACTGCTTTGTAAGAAGTCTGAAAGCCACTGTACTAGAAAAACCTAAAAATGTGTGTAACTACTACTTAAGCATGCTCGTATAATTTGGCAGAGCCCCCAGAAGATACTGGGGTCAAGAGGTTAGAGGAATTTTAAGGCCTATCAAGGTGGCTGTAGGGCTATGGAAGTTCCTGGAGCAACAAGCTGGGGGAGGAGGAGAGAGGTGAGGGAGATGTCAAGGCCCAGCTCCTGAGTTTCTGCAAGACTCTGCTGGTCATTCTTTCTTCAGCAGCAAAGGTGATACCTCTAAGAACATTTCTACTACAACAGCTCTACTTACCACTTAAATACTGAAGCTGACTTTCTCAGAGACTTCCAAACTGCCTGCAAATAAATTTTAAAAATGCAAACATGGGGTAGGGAAAACTCAGTATGACCAAAGCTGCTCTCCTGCCAAATTTTGCCACAGCTGGAGAGAGAGAGAGAGAGAGAGAGAGAGATCAGTATGACCAAAGCTGCTCTCCTGCCAAATTTTGCCACAGCTGGAGAGAGAGAGAGAGAGAGAGAGAGAGAGTGTGTGTGTGTGTGTGTGTATTCGTGCATGTGTTCAGTGGGCTCAGAAGAAATTTATGGGTATGTTATATTTTAGCAAATCACAGCTGAAGCCACAGCAAGGATCCAGGTGTCCCTAACTCTGAAGCCAAAGAGAAACTTTTATTTATGGTTTCCACAGACAGAAGTTTTCTTTCCAAAATGTGCATTTCAAGTACAATGATAAAAGATCTGCTCACAAATCAAGCCGCATGTCATGATGTTTACTGGTTTTGCTGGCCATAAAAAAGGGTGTTTTCCAGTTCCCCATCAGCTAGGAGAAGTCCTTCCCCACCCTCTCCTGACCAACCTCTTTCCCTCCCCCTAAGCAAGTGAATTTTAAATACTACTCTAAAGTTGTTGGCTGGTGACCTGTAAAATTCCTTTGCTTTGTTATGTTGTTAATGGCCCATCAGTTTAAACCTATCCCCAGAAACTTTCTTTCTCCTAACTAGATTGAAGAAGGGGGGAGCAGAAGTTTACCAAAAAAAAAGAAAGAAAGGAAGGAAGAAAGGATTGCTATTTTGAAGGGTTTGGGGACCATTCAAAAGGCCAGGTCCTGGATGAATGGAAAGAAGGAATTTCATCTGTCTCAATCTGCTTGTACAGTGGATAGCACTGTTAAGGTCAGTAGGGGTTGGGGCGTCCCTTAACAGCACAAGAGCATGTGTAAGTAGGGCTTTATTGAATGATTTTAGATGAAGGTAATAATTTTTTTTTTTTTTTTTTTTAAAGATGACCGGTAAAGGGATCTTAACCCTTGACTTGGTGTTGTCAGCACCACACTCAGCCATTGAGCTAACCGGCCATCCCTATATGGGATCCGAACCCGTGGCCTTGGTGTTATCAGCACCGCACTCTCCCGAGTGAGCCATGGGCCAGCCCCAAAGGTGATAATTTTTTAATGAAGTAATAGCTCAACCATGTAGGATTTTCGTGGACATAGGTCTTATGGAAGACCTCTAATTCCGGAGGTCAATATTAAGATTTATGTTCAAGATGTGTAAGCTAGTAGGTGTGTGACATCAATGAGCCACTTAGCTCAGACACCTTCCTATTCTCATATGTAACCACCTCAGATCTTGTTATTGTTAGTTACCAAACTACAATTACCTCTTACTGCATGTGCCAGGTACAGGGCTAAGGATTTCTCCTGTGTTAGCTCATTTAATCCTCGCCACCAACATATAAGGTAAGTACTATTATTATTACTATTTTAGAAAACAGGAAACTGAGGCTTAGAGAAGTGGTGGAATCCCACCTAGGCTCTCTGTTTTGTTTTTTGTTTTTTTTAGCCGCTGGCCAGTCCGGGAATGGAACCCTGGACCTTGATGTTATCAGCAGCACGCTCAAAGCGACAGAGCTAACCGGCCAGCCCTCCTATCTTCTTAGCTCATGTGCTTAACCCTGACATTATGCCGTTTATAAACTACAAGATCTAAGAAAACATAAATAAGAGGAAGTATAGAATGGCCAAACAATTCCTCCCTAGAGCATGACATTTCACCTTCTGCCGGTCACTGGGATCATGTATTTGCTGAGTTATTGGGTCCTAATTGGAGGGTACATTTCTGTACATAATGTTATAAGCAGACCCCTGCCCTTGGCTTTTTAGATTTCTGCAATAAGGATCGGACGACAAAGCACTATTGTTTCTCTTCAGGGTTTGAACTGTCAGATTCCATTTCTCAGCTTCCAGAAGGACAACACATAGATTCAAAGGGAAGTCGGAGCCTCCAAACACCATTGCTACTTCTGTCACCCACCTCCATCACCAGCAGCACCACCAAGGGGCACCTTTGGCAGTTTTTCCCTCTCACGTGAGCTTTGTCATCTCTTACATCACTTGGAGCCAGCAGATCTCAAATCCATCCTCTGTGACCCAGAGTTTTCAGGGGACACTCCATGACTAGAGGGGAGCCAGCTCACCAGGTAAGAGACTGCTACGGGAAGGGGAGGCTGAGAACACATCTGTGGAAAAGATGGGACCACTGACATCAGCTGGAAAAATCTGAAAAGATGGCATTACCCACCAGATGTCTACCCTAGATAGAATTGCCAGGGCCCAGGGTAAGTTTTTATGCCTCTACTTTTAATATTTATTTGTATTATTTGTGAGTAGAACTATCATTATCTTTAAAAAATTCATACATAATTGTCAATAATTTAAATAATGTGGAATATGGAAATTATACCACGAATGCAACCCCCCACCTTTGCAGTCCCCTCCCCCACACATCTGTCCAGTCATCACTATTAACAGTTTGGAGACTGTCCTTCCAGATGGTTCTGATGGGTGTGTGTGTGTGTGGTGGGGGGGTATTTACATAAATATCAGTGAGAAGATCCTATTCTGTACCTTGTATATCGCAGGTATTTTTCTGGGCCGATTCAGACAGTTCTCTTCCACTGTAAGAATGGACTATCTTCCTTTTCTTTTAATCTTTGCTCTAACAGATCATTTACTCCCTAGGGAGCCTGGCCCAGCCCCCACTTACACTGTGCCCTCCTCTGGGTTCTGCCTCAGGGAGCTGCACAAATGGGAAGGTGGTCAAAAGGTGAAAAGGGTAGGGTGGCCCCATATGGGAGAGTGTGGAGGGTGGGTCAGTGTATTCTATCTACCCTGACCATTACTGGGGGATGCAGGAAGTTCTTTCTCCTCTTGGCCTGGCCAAATGGTTCCTCTGTCTGGCTAAGGCAAAACCTGACGATTTATGGGAATCATCCCTGAAAAAGACCAAGAAGATCAGAGCTGGGAAACATAAAAAGCTGGTTTCTTAGGGTTACGCTCTATCATTGGGACCTCCATTCTGGGCATCCAGGCCAGTCCCCTGCTTCCATCCAAGATGTATGAGCAGCCCAGGTTTCTAGCCCCCTATGCTTTTCTCTTAGTAGCTACTCTGTGTGACGAACAACCTAATTAGGTAGAAGTTTGCTCCTTGTCACTGGAAAAGAACTCCAGCTTAGAGGATACAGGCAAGACCACCTATTAGCTGTGTGCCCTTGACCAAATGTCACATCATCTCTGTACCTCAGTTTTCTTATCTGTAAAATGGGAATAATAACAATACCTATCTTATTTGGTAGGGTTTTTCTTTGTAATTTAAATGAAATAAAATACTTATGTAGCATACTTAGGGTACTATATGGTAGATGCTAAGCACTCAATGAATCTGAATAATTATACCTTGAATCCAAATAGCTTTCACTGCACTTTAAACTCAAACTTTAGAGACCATCTAGGCTAGTGGCTCTTAATCCTGACTGCATACTAAATTCACCCAGAAAGCTTTACAGAAATGCCAGTGCATTACCAGAGATTCTGATTCCCTTGGCCTGAGGTGGGGTCAGGTGGGTTGGTGTTTTTGATACTCTCCCTGAAAATTGTAACTTGTATCCAGACTGAGAACCATAGAACCTAGTTCAGTGTTCTAGTTTTCCAGATAGGAAGCTGTGAGGCCCAGAGAGGGAAAGGGACCTGCCTAGTCATACAGCTAGACCCAAAAGACCCAAGCCTCTTATCCTAATGCCACGCTCCAAGACTTGTCCTCAGGGGTGAAATCTCGCCCTGAGGATGCTCTTCAGTTGGTCTCTGGGATGGGCGCGGTTGCTGCCCCCACTTCCAGGCTGCTTCCTGCCCCCACTTCCAGGCTGCTTCCTGATAATAATGCCTGGACCCCGCAACCCAGTTCTTCACAGGACAGCTGCCTTTTCACCCTTCAGGTCTCAGGTCAGAGGTCGCCTCCTCTGAAAGGTCTCCCTAGAGAAAGCCGCTGTTGTAGAATATGACCCTCTTTTATCATAGTGCTTACAGATGTGATATAATCCTGTTCATTCAATCATTCACTTTTGAGATCTAAGCCCCCTGGGGGTAGGAACCGTCTCTGTCTTGTTCTTGCTGTACGGGGCCTGCACTGGTGACCAGCACTTAGTAAAAAATACTCATTAAATGACTGAATGAACGAAATCCCAGGAGGGCAGTTGAGTATTTATTTTTTTATTTTTCTGGTCCTAACCATCTGATTCTCATTACTCCTACAGCTCGGGAAGTCTCTCTCTGCTTTGGCGTTTTATAAACCTCGTGTGCGTATATCGACATTTGAACCATATCCACAGTTTTGGGGCTGGAAGATTCGAGGCGAGGGGTTGGGGGAGGGACATAAAAAACTACCTGGAGGTCCGAAGCTTGGTCGGCTCTGCCCCGGGGTTGCGGGGGAGGAAGGCGAACCGTCGAGTGGGCGTCCCTCCGACCCCTGCCCGCCCCCTCGGCGGGAGATGGCCCCGAGCTGCGCGGGCCATCACAGGGGTACCCGCCGCCGCCGCCTCC